GCAAATGCAGAGAGAGATGGTGGGGCAAGAGGGCTGTTTTAAATCTGGAGGTCCAAAAACTGTCCATTAGGAGGGGCCAGAATAAAGTGAGAGAAAAAAAGCCATGTAACTATGTTGGAGGTGGTAGTCGTAGAGGGAAGAACAAGTGAAAAAGCCCCACCAAGGAGATGAACCTGGAGGAAAGAGAGCAGGTGAGGTCGGGGAAGAGTGAGCAACAGCAAAGAAGCAGAGAAGGACCTTGGAGAAGGAGGCAGGAGCCACCCAGCCAAGCTCTTTTGACTAGCAATGAAGTTCAGATTTCCTTAAGAGTGGAAATCTGGAGGCTGGGCGCGGTGGCTCATGCCTATAATTCTAGCACTTTGGGATGCCAAGGCGGGAGGTTTGCCTGAGCTCAAGAATTCGAGATCAGCCTGGGCAACATGGGAAAACGCAGTCTCTACTAAAAATGCAAATAAATAAATAAACAAACAAACAAACCAGGAGCGGTGGTGTGTGCCTATAGTCCCAACTGCTCAGGAGGCTGAGGCAGGAGAATTGTTTGGACCTAGGAGGCAGAGGTTGCAGTGAGCCCAAGATCATGCCACTGCACTTCAGCCTGGTGATAGAGCGAGACTCTGTCTCAAAAAAAAAAGAAAAAGAAAAGAAAGACAGAGAGAGAGAGAGAGAGAAAAGGAAAGGAAAGGAGAAAAAAAGTGCATTGGAATGTGGCTGGGAGGTCCTGTGCAGGAAAGTCATGGAATGTGTTTTACTTTGAAAATGATCAATCCCGGCGCTGTAGGGCTGGACATTCAGAGAGCAAGAGTGGAAGCAGAGAGACCCATTAGGAAGCTGCCCTGGCTCGCACCTATTGCTTCTAAATTTTTTGGCTGTGCAATACGAGAGTAAAAAGTTTTGGATCTTACTCACCCCACTGTGTGTGATATAAATTGTAAGCTGTGCTAATATAAATTAGACATTACACATGAGATCCCCTAGGTTCCACGAATTATATATATTGTATATATTATAAAATATTTAAACAACAAAATATTTAGAGTGAAATTTCTAATAAATGTTAAAAATATTTTGTTATCAATGTTATAAAGTCATTTTGCTTTCCTCAAAACACTACTGTGATATTTCTAATTTTAATTTTAGATTTTGCTGGTATTTACATTTTTAGTAGAGCAACGTCATCAAATATGCTCAATAATTTTGAAAAGTTTTGTTTAGTATATCACTTCGATCATTTTACATTTATTTTCATTTACAAATATTTGCTAATGATGGCTTAACTCACCAGCTAATCTATCAAGGCAAATGTTCATTATTAACATCACATTTATTATTCCTAGTAGTCTGGAAAATTTTGAATTCCTTGGCCAGTCTGTCATATTAAATCATCATTATTTTTACCTAACAATGTGGTTAGCAGCTTGTTATTATAAGTAAGGTAAGTACCAGCTCTTACATTTCCTGGTGTTACCTGTGCATTCAGTATCAAATTATTTTTAATATTGGTTCTGTAGAAATTTTATGAAACTTTTGGTCAATGTTCATTAAAAGCTGGATTTTAATTCTCTTATCTGGTTTATTAAAATACAGTAGGTGGAAAAGACCTAAAAGCAAACAGCCATGTGAGAATCACAGAGGATGCTGCTGTCATGGGCCACTCTCCAGCCTTCAGACACCACACCCTTCTCAGGAAACACATCCCTTACTTATGGAGCAAGGGAGAGGCATCGCCGTCAATCCCTTATCCTGCAGGGATTCTTCATTTCTTTCTTTCTTTTTCTTAGATAAAATTAAATATCAAAACCAGTTCTTCTATTTCCTAAGCACGACTCTCAATACTGCTTCTTGAGCACTCCGGACCACAAACCCCACTTTGGACTCCATTAATGTATGTGAGAGACATACATTACGTGGATTAGGTGGTGGCCAAGCCTTACTTGTCCCTGTGGTGTTAGGGACAACAATCTGTACACTAAACGAACTCAGCCCTATTGGATTCCGAGTGTCTATGACTTCACACTGTTCAGAGATTTTAAGACTATATTAACTCAAATATCTTGAGTTAATACTGATATTTCAAATTCATACTTCAGTGTTATTTTGTGAGATGATACCTCTTTTCTCTTACATTGAAAACTTTGATTTCTAAAAAGAACAGTCTAGTTACTTACAGGCTACTGAATAAAACTAAATCTTTCTTTGCAACTCTATCTTTAAAATATGTTCCACTAAGGGTATCTGCCCCAAACACTAAGTTTTAGAGTCATTTCAAATCTTTTTGTCCCTTTATCAGGTTCACTTCTTACCCTCTAGAGGTAATATTTTTATTCTTTTCTAATTCACCATTCTACTTTTCTTTTTGTAAATGGAAACTAATAGTATCATAAATGCATGTGTGTATACGTGTAGTATTCCCCCAGAATGTTCCCATGACGGTAGTATGCCAGTTATAATCTTCTGTACCATACTTTTTTCACTTAGCAATGTATCCTGGGAGACCACTTTGAATGAGTGTATAAAGATTTTCTTTTCAACTGCATAATGTTTTGAACTGAGTGTGTCCCCACAAATTCCTATGTTGATATCCTGACCTCCCAATGTGACGATACTAGAGGCTCGCCTTTGGGAGGCGGTAAGGTCGTGAGGTTGGAGCTCTTATAAATGAAATTAGCGTCCTTATAAAAGAATCCTCAGAGAGCTGGTGTGATTCTCTTTCTGCCACGTGAGGATTTGAGGAGAAGCCAGCAGTCTGCAATCTGGAAAGGGACTCTCTCTGTAGCCTGACCAGGCTGGCACTCTGATATCAGAGTTCTAACCTCTGAAACTGTGAGAAATAAATGTCTGTAGTTTATAAGCCAAACAGCCTGTAATACTTTATTACAGCATCCCAGAGGAAGACAATGTATTATCTCAAGTGGGCATACTACTCAGGCAACCCCTTTCTGATTGACCTTTGTTTCTGGCTTTTTGCTATTGAAACTGCACCAGTAGTTCCAAAGACAGTTCTTTTTTGTTGTTGTTGTTGTTGTTGTTGTTTTTGATAAACATAGAGATTGACCCTTCTGGTCTTAAAGCCTGAAACTCACCAGATCCAGACAATGAGAAGCCAGGCCCTTCATTTATCACGATTTCTTCCTTACCTCTCCAGAGTTCCTGTTTTCCCATACATGGTGACCTTTCCTCCCTGCTATATAAATGCCTAATTTTAGTCAGAGAGAGATGAATTTGAGACTGATCTCTCATCTCCTCCACTGCAAAGCCTTCTTCTTTGGCAATAATCATTTTCTCAGTGATTGGCTTTCTATGCTGAGAGCGGCAGGAACTAGACTGAATCCCTGGTGTTTCTCTGTTACAAATAGTTACAAATCATTCTATAATAATTCACATCGTACACATGTCATTTCATATTTTGCCAGTGTACCTCTGGAGCGGATGTGTAGAAGAGGAATTGCTGAGTTAAAAGGTAAATGCATACACAATTTTTCAGGATACTGACAGATTCTGGAGCTTGTAGAATTTTCACATACCTTTTAGTTTTTAGAATAAAGTCTGGTTATACCATTTTCATGTGCATTTTTTCAGAAAAAAAAATCATTTTTGAGATAATTAACTACATCGTTCAATGTATTATGTAGAAATTCACAGGATAAATTTCTGTCTGCACTTAAGTTTAGAAAAACCCATGTGTTCCTTCATAAGCTGGCATGTTCCCTTCAATTATTAAGCTATCAATGAAGGAAACATGCTAGGACTTCATTTGTCCTTCATCAGAGGAGAGAGTTGGGGTCAAAGATATTCAACTAAGGATGTGTGCCACCTCTCCACTTTGCTAAGACAGGACCAGACAGGACTAATCCCTCCTGCAAAGTGTAAGCACAGCACAGGAGAGTCGGTGCTCCCTGGGACCACAGTGCCAACATTACTGTCTCAGAAGGACCTAGGGCAGAGTCAAGTGACAGCAGGAATAGGCTCTGCTCACAAGAGTACAGTATGCTGTATCTGGAAAAGCCAGTGTCTGCCTTGTCAGGGATATTGCCTCTCATGAGAGCGTAGGTTAACTAGTGCTAACCAGTGGGTAAGACTGAATGGTATCATCACTCCCCACCCCATTTCTTCACCTTCAGAGATGTCCAAGAATAGAAAACTGAGATTTTGCTAGCATCAGGCCTCTGTGGGGCTAGAAATTGTAATACGCACACCTGCACATGCATGCACGCACATACACACTCACAGATCAGTGAATGGGACCCCACCTGCACGAGAGATGACAGAACTTCCCCAAATTGTGAGTGGAAAACCAGGGGCTTGAAATAGGAGGAAATGAGGTGAGCAAGGACGACTAGCAAGAGAAAGAGAAGCTGAGAGAGAGCTACAGGGTTGGGGGGAGAGATGCTGCTTGAAAAGGCTTGAGTTAGTGAGGCTCTCTCTATGGTAAAACAAATAATAATAATAAATGAAGTCCTAGATTCTGGTCTTTCTCTACTGGCCTATGAGATCAACCATCTCACTAGAGAGGAATGAATTACCCCTCTACAAGGAAGAGCAACCCTGGGAGTCTCCAGCCTTGGGCAGACTAGTGGCCTGAGATGGTGCCTCTCCCTTAGAAAGGCTTAGAAGAAGGCTTTGGTTTCTTCTCTACAAAGAAACAAAAAATATTCATGTTCAACTGCTGCAGTTTTACCCAGTCAGAACTTCTTAATGTTTTGTTCTTTTCTTTTCCCTCCATGGAAATATCTTTTATAATGATACCTCAAAATATTTGGGGAGATTTAGTGGCAAAAGAAGGAAAGAAAAAGGGAAGAAAACAGGAAAGGGAAGGAAGAAAGAAAAATAGAAAAGTTTCAGTGGTGCATTAAAAATACAGTCATTGTTGCTTTAGAAAAGTGCTTTATCTCTCATCAAAACTGGTAGATGGTCGATCCAACAGGCCAGTTCATCTAGTGTCTAATCTACTTTAAAACTATGGAAAAAAGAAAACAATTAGATATAATTCGAAAACAACACAATTAATCATACTTTTTTATTAAAAGAAAAAATAATACAATGGAGTTTAAAAAGCTACATTTGTTATGGTTCTTAAGGACAGAGGTTTACACAGGTTTTATATATGTACACACTCACAACACTATATCACAACGTCAGAGGCACCATTTTTTGCCACAGCATCAGGCAATGAATAAAACTTCTCCAAATTAATTTGTTTAAAAAATATCTAAGATGATACAGTATATTTGAGGATTATATAAATATGTGAGACATATTTAGATATTTTTAAAAATAGTGTTTATATACATGCATCACAATCATCTCTAATTCTCAAAATATTTTGGTACCAAAATTCTGTTTGTCAAATACAACACAAGATGCTGCAATATGTATCCAAGCACCAGCTTAGTACAGTATTTAACCTCCCCCAAACTAAAAGAGTGCTAACACGTACAAACTGAATTGAATATTTCAGAAAACCATTGAAATAATTTAGGCCCTCACATTTTTTTTTTCATTGGATGGTTGTTTTTAGAGGAAAAGGAGGGAACTAAATGATTTAGATTAAAGTTGCTCTGTGTAATAGAATCAATCCAAGGGCTCAGAGAAGAGTGTTCCCAGGCACTAGAGAAGGTACGGGGAATAAGTAAGTCCATTTTATGCATATTACAAGTTGGAGTTTTGCATGTGATTTCGTTCATAGAAAAAGTTCTACTGCTTTAAAATAAGTCTGAAAATATTTTAGAAAGGGCTTCAAGGTAAATTTTATTTGGTTATGCTAACATGATTTAAGGAATCTGTCAAAACAGAGAGCTTACACCCAGCCAGTTATATATATAAACTGAAGTCGATTATACATATTTAAACCTGAAAATATTATCTGTATTAGTTATAGATGATATACTCCCAAGCTTTTACATACATTTTTCAATCTAGAAGGACTTTGAGTGGAATAATACATTCAATGATATGACCAAATAACATTGTCAAATTATAGACCAATAATTAAAGGTGGAGAAATAATCCTTTTATATATGAAATTATTTTTCTATATATTTTTTATCTTATGAACTGAGCTAAACAAAAATAAACCATCACTTCTGAAAGTGAGATAATTATAATTCTAATTGTATTTATAAAGCTAACTAAATTTAAAAATATATTTTAGCAATATCTAATTTAGAAAAGAAAAAAAAAAACACTTTAATAAGTGCCTCAGAACTGGAAAATCACAAAAAACATTATTACTTGGGAAAGTGGGTGCCAGAATGTATTAACTCTCTTTTCCTCTTAGAGACATATGTTCATATTATCAAACATTTTCGATGCTGTCAGACTTAGGAAATACATGAAAATTCTAATATTGCACTACAAATTTTTATGGAACAGAAATGGCTTTTGCTGTGGGTCAAGCAGCAATTAAGAATTTGTCTTCATAACCACCAGAGGGCGCTACTGCCTGCAACATTGTTAGTTCCAGGCGTACTCTAATCAGTTTAGGTGATACTTGACTTTGGACATTGCCAAGCTGGAAAAAAATTAAAAAAAAAAATAAAGGTAACTTCCAAAGAAATATATTTAAATTCTGTAACACCTAAATAACATTGGACTGTTGCATTAAAACAACAGAGTTAACTTGCCTATTTTTGGTAAAGATTAGTTTAACATAGGATTTCATTAATATTTCGGAATCAGGAATTGAATGGATAACCCTTTTAACAATGAATAAAAGGAGCATTACTAAAGCCATCAACACTGACAATTCATATAGCACCGTATATTTAGCACCAGAATAGATACTGACAGTTCACACTGAATAAAAACTTTGCTAAGAAACTTCAAAAGTTATAGCAAGTATATGTGGTAATCGTAATGTGTTTTCAGCACCATTAACCAGTGAACTGGTAAAACTTCTAAGTTTTTGACTGACCTCCAATAAGTCAAATTTAAACCATAACATAATTTTTAAAATTATTTTGCATATGTTCAAATGATAGCATGTGATTATATGTTTCACCCACACAAATAGTGACAAATTTTTATGAAACATAAAAGCAAAGGTAATGTTAGACAGTAAGACAAATGTAACTTTATTCTCCCTAAACACTTTGGTAGGTAAAGGCTTCCATCTATGTCAAGATTTACATCCTTTGATACTGCAGAACCTGAGTTTATGGCTACACAGGAAGAACATACATCAAAGCCTAAGCATTATTTTTCCTTCATAGACCCATTCAAATTATATGTTTAGCTTGTGCATGTATTTTATAAGCACAGCAGGAACACAAAACACTTAAACTGGCTTAAATATATATTAGATTTAATTATGTAGATAAGTTGGTTTCATACAAGTGCATATTATGAGAAAAATACATATTGTTTCAGTTCAAATATTCTATGTTAAACAGAACTTGCCCTAGTGTTTGGTCAACTCTGTGCTAAAGCTACATGGAACTTTCAAATGAATGTTTCCATGAACTTTTCAAATGAATGTTATGGCGCTGCCAATGAAATTTGTAAGGCAGCTCTGCTGGATGATGGGCCACAGAAGGGATGATGCTTAGAGGACTGAACAGAAGCATAAACAATAATAACAATAATGGCTTCATCCACATTTCTTGAGCAAACACTACCATAACCAGAAATATTAAGACTGTGCCTACACAACTCACAGATAATTCTACCATGAAATCCATCAGTTTAATTCCAAACTTAAAATTTTTCAGTCTTTTGATGACAATGGAAGCCCCAAACCTATACCACAAGAATATTACAATTTTTCTACCCGTCATATAAAAAAATCAGCACCGTAGAGATGATCAATGCTGTGGAATATATATATGCCAATTACTATTTTTTTTGAATGACACTGTTCCATATGAAAACCTTAATACTGACCATTTAAAGCTGCTCTTATGAAATAGCTTATACCCAGACCTTTCCTGCTTCTGGCAATTACAGTGAAAAATAGCTATCCTAGCACCATTGTTGCATGCTGTGAAAAATATGGCAGGCTGTGTTGATACTAGCAAACTTTCATTTGCTTTAGCCTGGAAAATAAAATACTTTACATGGCCACTTTATATTATTAACTTTAAAAAATAGAGTTAGAATAACAAATATACCCGTTATGTTTTCAGCTGAGTTGTTAAATTATAAATAAACTTGCAATTCTTGTCATGGTTTGGAAAGGACAGTTGCCTAAGTGTGCAGACCCTAGTTTTAATCTGATACATTCGATGATTCATCTGGATTTTTTATATAATTAAAACTTTATATTTAAAACATTTTTGTCTTAAGCATGGAGCGATGGGATTTTTGTAAATTGTTGCCATTCTTGGCTTTTTATTTAATTCTAAAAATCCATTTATATGAGCATTTATTAAACGTTTATTGGTATAGCCACCATTTAAGAAGCTGGGATAATACAAAGAATTAAACAGAGTTTCTGCCAAAGAGGAGCTCATGAAAAATTTAATTTGATCTCAAATAAATGTTTTATAATATTAATGATAATTTCAATATTCATAAATTTTTATTAATCTAGTAAATTTACCCTCATTAGAACCTCTGTGAAATATGTAGCAAATATTACTATTCTTCCTTAGAATTGAAAAGTGAACTCACAGAAGCAATTCATCAACAAAATTGGAAATTAGTGTAGCCACCTTCTTTCATAGTACTTATTGCTGTTCCTGTAAAATGAATAAAATAGAAGAAGAAAAGACTATCTAGATAAATCAAGCAAGCATCCCACTAATGAGCTTTCCCTCCAATTGTCTAGATATACTAGAAAATCTGGATTAACACCTAATAATGTAATTACTTCTATTCTCCATTTTCATCTCCAAAAACATTTAACAGCATCTACGTAAGTGCCCACAAAGGCAAAATAGTATGTTATCAAAGCATTTTGTCCCCATGTTCAATTTATAAGGGTAATTGGGCCAGTCATTCGTTAACAAGCAGACCCAACCTTCAGATGGTGAATTCCCTTACCATTGAATGGATTTAATGATCTGTCATCTTTCAAAATATCCAACCTAAAAAACTGCAAATGTATATGAAATTTTAAACAAGTAGCTTCCTTCTGTTATTTGCACTCTGGAACTAACCATATTTAATTGTTCTGAAACTAACCATATTAAATTGTTCTGTAATTCTATGGAAGCATTACATAACCTGAATAACACACACACACACACACACGCACACACGTACTTGAAGTGCAATACGTTAAATATCTTGACCAAGATGTTGTATTCTCCTCTCTGAAAGAGATGTCATGAATAGGAAAATGTGACATTTCCAAATTACATGAGTAAAATTTTCATAGCGACTCTAAATGGATTTTCATAATCAAACTCAAAGAAGAACTGAAAATGTTTCTTCTACAGAAACAGAAATAAAGTTGATAACTAGCCCTTAGAAAGCATGTAAAGAAGGCTATTTTAACAAAGTCATGACTGTATGAGGTGTACACCATGGATCTTTCATGCAATACTCAAAGATTCAAAATGATAAGTAGATTGATTCAATGATAGGCTGAACAATGAAGAGACAGGGGTGTCGTCAGCACCTCCACATCTCTTCTTGGAATCCTTCAGCTCCTGACAGGCCTCGGGATGTACTAAACCCTCAGGATAGGCCATTCTGAATCTCTCCATCTGGTGGTTATGTGCAATTACCCTTTTCATACCTGTCCTCTAAATGTTACTTCTCTTGGACTTCATTAGTTTTCTGAGGGTTTTGCTTTCTGTTTTCCAAAGTCACAGGTGTACAATCTGTTCCAGAAATCTTGGCATTTGTTGATTATTTCCTTGCCCTTCTCATTCCAAGTACTGTAACTAAATTTCCATGAGAAGCAAAACTTGTGTATCTATAGTACAGCATGGTTTATTACTTGCTCCACCTACAGGTAAATACTGCTGTGTCTGCTCCCTTCAAAAATAATGTTATAGTAAAATCACCAGTCTGCATTATTTCCTGAATATTTTTTGTGAGCTTCTTGAGGGCAGAAACCATGTCTAATTATCTCTGCATTATCAGAACACAACTAGCAAAGTGTCTTGCATGTAGTAAGCACTCAACTCATGACTACTGATTCAATAAAATGAGACTAAGCAAAAGGCATGATTTGAGAACTTACATAAGATATAAGTTGGCATTATCCTTTGGTGGACTCAAATAAGAAAAACTGTCTCCAGGTTCCTTAAATTATTATTTCCAGATATCACTAAGTATTATTTTATAAATTATCACTTTGTGGGTATTACAGAAATGGGTGCTAAAGGTGTCCCATCACCTTACATATACTTGAGAATAGTCTTTTTAAAATTTCCCTCAAGTTGGCTACTGACTCATATTATTATCTATGTGTTACATCATACATTATATGTTTGTGTGCATATATAAATCCATACACATATATATGTATATGTATACATATACACACAGGTTAAATACATATTTTATTACTTAGGAACATAATGATATAATGATATAATTTATAAATGTAAGTTTTAGGATTGGATGCATCAACTATGTCATCATTACATATACAATATTTTAATTTAGGCTTAGAGGTCAGAAAATAGAAATTGATGTTTCAAATATCTCAAAGGATTAAACAAACATGCTAGACAAACACTAATTTATACAAAGGAATACTAAAAGGAAAACAAGATTATCATAAAATATGCAAAATATGTGCAAAATTCAATATATATATATGTATGCCCATGTTCCCAGAAATTATTATATTTCCTGGAGGAAAAAGTAAGCTTATTTAAACCAGTACAGGTAGTTTGATGTAACTCCTGGAAAACACAGATTGTCAGTACAAGAGCCCCCATAACTTGGAGGACAAGATGAACATGGTACCCCTACTTTATATGGTGCTTCCCCAATCCAATTGCCCCTAGAAGGGAAAACAAAAAAGACAGCATTAGTGCAACCCACACGTTTTTAAAAGTAGATTGTCCTTAAGCCATATGTTCACGTGTATTGACATGTGATGATCTGTTCAAGAAGTTGCATTAGAAAGTCACTAAAAGTTATAATCATTTCTTATTTCAATTGTAACTTATTCTGTATATCTTGCTTTTAAAATATATTCTCTCTGAGTATTGTTGATACGATGTTCATTTACAGTTAAGAAATGAATCCCTACAACACCTGATGACACAGAGCCATGGGACATCAGGCTCATTCCACTCAAATCTCTCTCCTTCCACAGCAGGTTTGCGGAGCACATACTCAGGCCATATTCCCTTAAACTTACTCCTTTCAAACTCATACTAATGCTCATCTAAGGATGATTAAGAAAAAAATGGTATATTCTGGGAGACTTAAACATAATGAAATGAGTAAGAAGTTATCATATAAACAAAATATATCATGTTTATCATGATACATGTTTACCATATACCATGTTTATGATATACATTTATCATATATATGTTTACATGATATGTTCATGAGATTTGCTTCTAAAGCTGTAAAGTAGTTTAGATTCTCAATCTTCATAAAATGAAATGAGAAAAACTTCTTATGTGGTAAAATGGTATAAACCAATATACCATTATTCTCATATTAGGAGAACAATGTCTCTCAGGAACAATTAAAGGTGACACCAAAAGTTTTATTTCATATGCAAATTGATAGCTACTAATTTCTTTAAATTAGTGCTATTAGATTGTTGATAATACTGAAAGTTTTAATTGAATTACTTTGCATTGTCAATATTTTTCTTTCACTGTGTTGATGGCCATGATCATAATAATGGCCCAAAATATCCACGTTAACAGAGTTACAAACAGCCATGATGCCATACTGTTATTTTGCTATTTTAATTATATAGGAGAAGTTAATAAATGTGTTCTCAGTAGTTTGGTGGTAAGTAACTAAAATACTAAGAAATAGCAATATAGACAGCAATGTGAAGGCAATTGAATGTTCAGGAGAAAATTTGGTTGTCATTGGTAAAAATTCAGGGTTGAAGATAAGACAACAAGGTAAGAAGCTAAAATGTGAAACAGGAAGCCTTCATCTTCCTTAAGACCCAACTAAGACCAAGCAGTGACTCATAAAGTTTATCTACAGGATATGAAAATATCTTGATCAATCAGTCAGTTAAAAATTCAGACTTTTATCTATAAAATATCTATATGGGAAAATCTACCTATAAAATCAAAAACTTGCTAATTATTCACATTATAAACTGAGATAAGATTTTAAGACTGCCAGCCTCTATTAAATTTATTCTACACTATACTCTAAGGACAAGCTTCCTCAAGCATAATTTTGATGCCATCAGGGACTTGCTCAAAAATGCTCAAGGGGGCCTATTATCTTATGAGTGTAGCTTACTCTCTTATCCGAATCCTGTACCATTCTATGTTCATAATCCTGTTTCCCTCTATGTTTTTTTGTTTGTTTGTTTTGAGACAGAGTTTTGCTCTTGTTGCCCAGGCTGGAGTACACTGCAACCTTCACCCCAAGGGCTGAAGGGATTCTGCCTCAGCCTCCCAAGTAGCTGGGATTACAGAGATGCACCACAATGCCTGGCTAATTTTGTATTTTTAGTAGAAACAGGTTTCACCATGCTGGTCAGGCTGGTCCCAAACTCCTGACCTCAGGTGATCCACCTGCCTGGGCCTCCCAAAGTGTTGGGATTACTGGCATGAGCCATCACACCTGACCCTGCCTCTTTGGATATACCCAAAGCTATAAAAGCATATGGGCCAAGCCAATGCAACCTTAATTTCATATTTTCATCATTTGTTTTCCCACACATTTTTTGGAGAACACAATTTTAGAAACAGAAACTTGGAAATAAAATTGTATCGCAAGTAAAATTGTTACATAGTGTATATAATAAACTTTTACGTAAATCTCAGATTTTATTGCATACAGGATAATTACATTCAAAACAGTGAATCAGTCAATTTATATACTTATACTATTCATTCTTTTATTTTGTGCTATTCTAATTAAATTCTCTCTCTCTCTCTCTCTCACTTATCTCTTTCCTTGTTCCCATTCCTCCTTCTCTCTCTCTTCCTCTCTCATTTTTCCAGGAAATAACAGTTAGACTTCACATAATTTCATATTAGCTTTAGAAGAATTATATTCAGCTACCAATCAGGATTTTAAAACTTTCTTCATTACTTAGTTTCCATAAAAATTGTTCTTTATTACCACTGAAATGTAGCATGTTGGACCTATAAAAAAAATATATTTCATCAATAATATTAGAAAATTATAACTGTTAGCCAAAAATGAATAGTCACATGAACGAAACAAAAATTTCTTAGACTATTTGCATTCTGCTTGGCCTATTTACATCAGGGAGAAAGGGTAAAGTCTTCATAGAAAAATGCAATGTGTGAAACTAAAAATTTTATACAAATGTACAATTTTAATGCTTTTTATAATAATGCAGACACAGTCTACTTTCCAAATATTCCCATTCTAATAATTATGAAGAGGAGAACATAGGGAGAATCACTATTTTTCTAACTTTGTAAAAACACTGCCATTGGCATACTACCATATAAATGAGTAATGCAGTTATTTGTGAAGCATTTTCTCATTCCCTCCCCATGCTGGAATAGCTGGAGAAATTCTTTGTTTGAGACTTACTTTGGAAGACATCAAGAGTGTCATAAATCCTTTGCACATTTTGGTATTTATTCCAAATGGGAACAGAATTGTGTATAAATATTGAAACATTTTATCATCTGAAGAGCTATTGTAATCAAGAGGCATGTTACCAAATGTTGATAAATGTTTATCCTCATAAAGAATGTTCACAAATATGACCATATCTTATAATGTTTGATAAATTTCCATAACACATTTTTGTATGCCCTAGGATGAAATTGTGGATTTTTTAATCTAAAAAATAAGAGAAGGAAGAATGAATTCACTTTCAATGCATTGCTAAAAAGGTAAACCAACGTTTTTGTACTGGTAGATGAAAACATCATGGAAGATTCTTTCTTGATTTATTTTATATAGCTATTAAAAGTTTGTGTGGTACCATGTTTATTTTGCAATTGTCATAACAGAAATACATGGTAAGGAGAATTTAGTGAGTCCCAGCATTTCAAATTGTTTTGCCTACAATTTTAGACTAGAATCCCTGTCTTTGTGAAAAGAAACCTTTCAGCTAATCGTTTTTCAGAAATATCGAAAGGGTGGTAGATTTGAGGATTAGAGGCTATTCTGGCTAAGTCTTACTCACTTACCTGTCACAGATACCTATCAGCTTGGGGTTATTTAACATCTTTAAAGAATCCAGGAAATAGAATCCAACCTGGTACTTACTTTGGGGCATAGTTGCATACCAAGTAAACTGCACGCCGCCAGACAGAACCCCAGACATTCATGTTTTGGCAAGTATGAATTGCACATCCTATCCGATTGGAAGTGGCCCAAACCATCTGTGAAAATAAACCAATATACTATTACAGAAGTCAGAGCTAAGACAATGCATGTCCACCAAAATAGTATTAGCAAATACTTTAAAAGTACGAATCAAAAATTAACAAGGTAATTGAAATAACCTGTGTATAATGTGTGCACATGGGACCAAAACATCTCATAGGACATCTGGGGTTGCAATCCTGGGGATATGGAAAAGCATAATCTTTCACTTCATCATACCATGGCTTGACCAACTGGAGAATAGAGCGATATCTGCATATCAAGAAAAGAAAGACATTAGAGTACAGCACTGGTAATATATAAGAGACTCATGTTACACTGTAAATTGTTCTTTTTGCAGATTTATTCATGGTGATCCACAAGCATATCCATCCCTCACAATCATGATCTCCACCTAGTCGGGTCCTCTATTCCTGCAAGTACAGCCAAGCATGGAAATGCCCAGGGCTGGAGCAAGTGATTCTATATTTATCTAAACATGTGTCTGGCCATTCCACAAAGAAAATGCAAATATTTTCAGGACTCATCAATGTCTTATTTAATCCAAGTCAAAAATTTCCTCCTTCAGAATTTTATAAATAATCCAGAATTAGATATATCAAAGGAGTCACAATATTAGAACTCAGTGCGTTTTTTCCTTTCAGTCTGCAGTCTGAATTCCCCCCCCCCCACTTTTTTTTTTAATTTGAGACAGAATCTTCCTCTGTCATCAGGCTGAAGTACAGTGGCATGATCTTGGCTCACTGCAACCCCTGCCTCCCGGTTTCAAGAAATTCTCTGCCTCAGGCTCCTGAATAGCTGGGATTACAGGTGTCCATCATCATACCCTGCTAATTTTTGTATTTTTAGTAGAGACGGGGTTTCACCATGTTAGGCAGGCTGGTCTTGAACTCCTGACTTCGTGATCCACACGCCTCAGCCTCCCAAAGTGCTGAGATTACAGGCGTGAGCCACTGCACCTGACCTGAATTCCCTTAATTTTAATAATAGCACACTTGATTTTCTTTCCCTATTTGGGGGAGATGGGTCTTTGGAGTGTTGGATAATGACATTACACCGTGGGAGAAAAATTATCCTAGCAATGGGAATAGCTTTTCTCATAGCTGCATATACCTGCATATATATGTGTGTATAAATATATATATGTAAATACATACATTTTTATTTATATATTTATGTATATGCAAATATATGCAGCTATGGGGAAAGTTGCATACACATGCATATGCATGCACACACACACACACACAGCCTCTACACAGTCATGGGGCTTTTTCCTGAGTTGGAGAGGGCAGGATACAGCATAGGCTTGACTCTTTCTAATATTCTGTGAACTGAAAAAAAAAAAAAAAAAAAAAAAAAAGGGCTAAGAGAGAGTGTTCCAAGAGTGAAAAGCAGAACTGGCCATTTTACCTAATTAAATAATTCTGGAAGCAATCTAAAATATTCATATGTGTCAAGCATTAGTACTTGACCCATAGTGAGTATTCAATAAGTAGTTGATGTTACTTGAAATTGATGTAATTCTCTCCTTGAGTTCATAATTAATAAAGCCATATGGATGAACTGTATCAGTGAAACTACTTCCTACCTTCCAGTGCGTACAGATAGATTTTGGCCCAAAAATCTCAATAAGTAAGAAGGTCCATGGTCCCAAATGCAAGTAGCCGCCCACGCCTCTGCCGATTTTGCGAGATTTTCATCCCAAACCTGTAGGGGCAAAAAATCTTCAGCGTTACTGGATTTGCTAATAAACAAAAAGTAAAACGAAAGAAATGGTGTTACTATTTCCCAGATTTTTTTCCCCAGGCTGGAGTCCAATGGTGCGATCTCAGCTCACTGCAACTTCCACCTCCCAGGCTCAAGCAATTCTCCTGCCTCAGGCTCCTGAGTAGCTAGGATTACGGGCACATGCCACCATGCCCAGCTAATTTTTGTTATTTTTAGTAGAGATGGGGTTTCACCAAGTTCGCCAGGCTAGTCTGGAACTCCTGACCTCAAGTGATCCACCCGCCTCGGCCTCTCAAAGTGCTGAGATTACAGGCGTGAGCCACTGCTCCAGGCCTCCTAGAGTTCTTTTAATTCTGGTTCCTGAGACTGCTATAACTATAAAAGAAAGCAAATTCAGACCACTATTATTCAAAGCTCTATAATACTATATGGTTATACTTCAAAAAATTATTGCCTTTCAGTGTCATCTATATCCAACACTGACATATTAGTTTTAGTAAAGAAAAGCTTAACAAAAATACTATAATTATAACTGGGGGACAGTTCATCCTGACTACTGAAATTTGAATCCAACTAAGTCCATTGGTTTTCCTAGAGATAATTTTCACAGCCGTCAGGAGCCATGTTGTTAACATATTTCAAGAAACAAATATGATCCAATTTATTCAAATTGATTTTACCAGAATCAACTATGTCTAATTTTACATTGCAACCGATAAGGTTATATTCTATTATGGCATAAAAAAATCCCATAGAGTCAACATATGTAATGTAATTTGAATCATTAGTGGTAATAACAATAATACTATGATAATTTACATTTTTGTTGTTATAAACTGGAAACAAACTAATAAAAGTAATACTGCTACATAGTGTTATAACAACATGGTACTTTATGGTTCAATTAAATGAAATAAGAAAATAGCAACTGTTGCTTTCCTTTATAGAGGAAGCTAAGTTAATAAGGATGTTAGTGATGTATGACAAATTTTCTTTAATTGAAAAACATCATAGGACAAAATCTGAATGAGCCATGGAGTTAACGTACATTTATTTTATTAGTTACCATACGGTTTGGCATGCTTATTTCCATAGCTGCAAGAGGAAATCAAGTTAAGCATTTGTGGACCTGCCAGTAATAAATCAGCTCTGAAATGGTAATCTATTTTCTGGCAATTCATGAGGTACAAAAACACAGAACAGAGAATATTTATAATTCTTATACACAGTAAAGAAAAAGAAGTTTAAAAAAAGTGTTCCCTAGTGGTAATATATTTAATGATGTATTTACCTGTTGAACATAATTACTTTAAAATTGGTATCATAGTTCAATGTCATGACACGATTTCCTAAATTATTTATAGTATTTATATATTATTCTACCTGGAAAAAATAGTGTTTGAATTGTGACTAGAGAGTCGTAATTGAGATCTTGTATGAAGAAGGAAGCAACAGTTTTATAATCACTCATATTTACATGGAGCTTATATAAGGAGGTATATAAATGTCCTACTAATCTACTGTCCTGCTTTTCCTCCATCAGGTTGTGGAAGCGAGGATTAGTAGCTATGCTTTCACTGTAAGTTACAAGCTTTCAAGCAAACTCATGGGAATTCTTGACCATATCACTGAAAAGGCTTCATTTTCCTCAAGGATAATGGATTGCACAGATTTATTTAATATAACAACGTATTTAATTGAAGGAAACTAATTTAGTGACTTTAAAATAAAATAAGAAAAAAAAAGATGAACTCTTCAAGAGAACCTCTTACCTCAGAGGCCTACTTTCAAAAGACATTTGTTAGTTACTGAGAAATTGTTTTAAATTAGAAAAAACAAAGTCATCTTACATAAATTGATCTAGGATTCCATAAAATAAACTCACTCACAAAGTTCATATAAAAAATCATAGTATCCTGGGGCTGAAATGAACTTTAAAAAACATTTCATTCTGTTGAAAATTGATTTACCAAAGATTTCTTCTTTTGACCAAATATTAACAAAATGTCGATTCTCAAAATATTGATTGTAGTTCAACACAATACAAAACACTATAATTAATTTATAAAAGAATTTCAGATGGAATAGTATCAACAAATTATGTCCCCTAAATGATCTTAACAAATTGTAGTTACTTGGGAAAAAGTACATGCACACATTCTGTACACATTGAACTAGAGTGTGCACTCAGATCTATAACTGCTAAAAACACTTTCCTATAATCTTATGCTAAGATATTAGCAGAGCATGCACACACAGTGCTGATCTGGATCAGTGACTAATCAAGGATCCTGTACTCTAACCCCAATTCCACTGCTAAAGTTATCTGCAACTGAGGCCAGGTCAATTATGATCTCTGTCTCCCAGTTATCTCATCTGTAAAATGAGATTGAATGAGGTCATCTCCAGGGTTCCTTTCATCTTTAACTTCCTGTGATTTAGATACACTTGAGTAGCCCTAGCAACAGAGCCAGGAAGATCTAGGTTGTATTGGCCTGGGACTTGCTCAGTTCTGGCCTTTTCCATATCATGGAGAAAGCAAATCTAGATTACTTTTGAAAAAATTAAACATATTCAAGACCTTTCTTTTTCCTTATTTCACTCCTTATGTGTGTACCAAAACATCACACTGTGTACCTTAAATAAGTACAATAAAAAATAAATAATAAAAATAAAAAATAAGGCATTTAACAATTTTAAAAGTAATTTACCATATGTAACCCTATCTTTATACTCAATCATATATTTAAAAGCTAAATATTGGGTATGTCAAAAAGATAAACTAAAAAGCTCATGCCTGAAAAATATATTATAATATCATTCTTTGTTAACTATTATAAGAAATTTTGATATGAAGAAAATGTGTTCACTGACATCCACACTTTTAGGTATTTCTATGTACAAATATTACATATTGGAGAAGGTAGTTACAGGGAAGGAAGGATAATTGCTTTCTGTCACTGTGTTTACTTTTAGGAAACTGGGAGGGTTTCTACCCGTCTCCATGAACCTAAAGGAAAGTTCTGAAAAGTCTGACAGGTACTGGTTAGGTCCCACAAAGAGTGGGTTGACTTTGCCTCCATGTGGAAGATAGGACTGACCTACCCTCTGATGCCCACTGCAAGGGAAGTCAGAGGGCCCCATGCTCTTTCTTGCCTCTGTCTCCAGGCAGAACTCACATCTACTGGAGAGAGAGGGGAAGGTCTGGTTTGAGTAGTGAGAATTTGGCAATTACATTATATCCTCTGGTAAAGTTAATTTGGGAATTACATTATATCCTCTAGTAAAGTTAAGACCTACATTTACTTTTTCTGTCTTTATCCATTGGTTACAGTTCCCAGGAAAAGATGGACAAGTGATTATCCCTTTAGTCTCCAATTATTTAAATTTATTAATATGATGAGATCTTTTAAGTTTGAAACTAACAAGCAATGATAACTTCATTTAATAACTGTCAGAACCATATGAAGAGAAATTGATTAATGGGTACAGATTTTGATAGAAAAAATAAGGCTTAGTGCTTGATAGAGAAATAGACTATAGTTCATGATAATCCAGTGTATATTTCAAAATAACTAGAAGAGAATAATTCAAATGTTTCTAGCATAAAGAAAAGACACAAATTTAAGGTAATGGCTATCCCAATTACACTGATTTGATCTTCACAAATTATATGAATGTATTAAATTATCACATGTACCCTAAAATATTTCTATTATGTATCAACAAAAAATTTTTTTAAATAAGAAACAAAAAGTATAGAAAATTTCAACAAAAAAGTGGGGTCTGTAAGAACCTATGATTATTTCCTATCTGGAAGCTCTAAGTTGTAATGGATGTTGCCAGTGTAATTATGGGAAATATTTAATGACTTATGAAAGTTCAGAAAATGAGGATGTAAATTGTCTAAACATTTGACTTAATTTATTAATATCCAGATGTTAATAGGCAATCTATTTGACAAATTTCTCTGAGTGTTTGTAGCATTCATTTAAAAAATATTATTTAATGTAATATTATAAAAATATTATACTCTACAGATGTATCAATGGAAGAAAGAAGGGTACAGGTGTATACTTATTTCTATGAAATGTCTAGTAAATATGCAGCATATTGTTATCTATGCTTGGAAAATCTAAACACCTAATATTTATGGATTTCTTATTAAACCAGATTCAACATTCTGACTTCCTAGTTCTTATCCCTCTAAATAGATATGGTATTTTCACAGATAATTTGCTTGTAAACACTTAAATCTTTCAACTTAAAAATGAGGCAAAATTAAGAATATTGTGCATAAATATGAAAAAATATTTACAGGACCCACTAGAAATTATATATTATGATTAAATTAGATAAATTTTAATTCATCAAATTTAAATGGTTCATAATGGTGTCAGAACATGCATGTGCTTGTAGGATGCCTTATTGCTTCCAGCAGTTTTCTTCTATTCTTTTTTATTAAGAGTCATTCAGTTGGTCAGCTCATAAATTGACTGATTTAGCTTTGCACTAAAATATTCACCATGAGCTATTGTACTTATAAATAAATTAGAGAGTTTGAGATAGACACAGTACGTTGTCTGCTAAGCACAAGAAGTTGAAATCACATAGTCAAACTAAAACATGACACATATCCAGAATTCAAACTTAAGTCATTTAAATATCTAAAAGAGTTGTGATCCTAAGAGATAGAAGGAATATGAAAAGAATGCAGGATTCTCATCAAGTTCAGAGATCTTTAGAACTTGAGCTGAATACAAAATTGAGTAAAAAATGCTGCTGCATGGGCAAAGGTTGCTGACTTCCATAAGTAGACAGAAAAAGTTGATGATACTGATCCAAACCAGATATGAGGCTGTTTTATCAACTGTTTTCCTGTTTTGGGATCCTCCGCAAGGTGGCAGCCAGGACCATGAAGCATGCTGACATCTAAAGATGTCTTAAATCCCAGCCACTATCTCTGGCCAATAAGAAAT